AATTTGGCAATTGATTGAAAACATTTGCAAATATGAGATCTCCTTTATGTATTATTTTAAATTCACAGCCGTATCTGTAGCATCTGAAAATCAAAGCCATTTATGTGGAGGGGGAAGTCAATGGCAGTATGAACCACTGTACCACATACGTTCGAGGCAAATGTAGTGGTAAAAGTTGAATTTAAATATTTATTAAATATTACCGGTTCCGTTCATGTTTGGTATCAAGATCAACAGTAAAAATATCAGTCTTAATGGTACAGGTAGTGGGATATATAAGAAAATTATTTTAATGGTACAATTTAAGCGTTAAAGTGACGCCTCGATTTCACCCATAAGGATTACACGGGGAACTGAAATACGGGTCTCGTGTTATGAACTGAGTTCAAATTTCGCGCGTCATTCACTTTACTGGTCAATTGTTGGTAGGGATAATTAGCCAAATTTTGGTTAGTATTTAAGCATCTACATGATATTTCTAACATATGTGCAAAATTTCACAACAATCGGTCCAGCAGTTTCGGTGATTATCTGTCTAATAAAAATGAATACAGACAGACAGACGGAAACGGGAGACCACTTTTTTCGTACTCTAGACGTCATGACACGTCGAGAAAACATGAAAGTGGTAATTCGGCCGATAGACTCGATTGCTATACTTCCTTTAAAATAAACAAAATTTCTGTTTTAATTCAATCATGTATTAAGTCCAATTAAATCTTATTCTACAATTAATTTAGGTCCAATCCAAACGAGAAAACAAACTTTCAGTGGGTGTTTACTTAGTTAGTTTTGGTAAAAACCTTTTCAGTTGCAAAATGTTGTTGTACAATTTTGGTTTTTTTCCCAAAAATCTTGAAACAAGCATCCGCCACACCATAACAATGGATTTGAGCAGGGTTGTAGCAAGGAATACTTGCTTCGCCACCGATCTGGTTATTTATTGAACACTGGTAACAGCGAACACAGTCATATAACGCTATTTGCCAATTGACAAGCACGACTATTTTGATTATTAAGTGATTATTAAGGATCCCGGACAGTCTGCACAAGTGCACGAAAAATTAGTTAATTATTTAATGTAGAGGAGCCCTAGTCACAATTTTACGGTCGCGGTGGCCATAATTTTTATTGAAATAGAGGAAAACAACGGTGAGAATTTATTGATAGATTGTTTACGAAAAAATCACAAAATTAAGTCAAAAAATAGAAAATTGTGATGGTCGACAGGAGCATGAGTATGGTCTTCACATTTCCTTGCCGAGTTTTGCCACTATTGCACAGACTGGTCGTACAAAGCTGACAATTCCGGGGGTTTAATAACTGCGTTTGGTTACAAAGCCACATGATAAGAAATGTGTCGGTGGCGTTTAACGATACACAACGCTTGGTCATCAAATCTGAAACCAACCACAATATTAACAACCGTGATACGAATTAAGTATTACTGGTTGCCTACTAAGCAGTGTCACCACCAATCGCAGCCGCTCATTTTAACCACGTGACACAACTGCCGCTGCCTATTGGTTGACAACTCGACCTAATTTTTAAATTTAAACACTAAACACGTACTTACTGTTGTAAATCAATGACACGGAGTTGTCGTATACATTGAGACAATGCCACTGTGCAGGGTGGTTGCAGTGAATTTGGTCGTCGTTTATATAGCGCGGCGTAAGAAACACACTACAGAAAAAACATTTCAAACCAACGCTGACCCCACAACTCAAAAAGAGGAATAAAATTACGCCAAATTTAGACCGTGACATTTTCACTTGGCGCCCCCGAGAAGGTTTTACATTGTTAAAAAAAAAACATTTGGCGCCCCCGAGAAGGTTTTACATTTTCAAAAAAAGACAATTAGGACCCCCGAGAAGGTTTTACATTTTTAAAAATGACAGTTGGGACCCCCGAGAAGGTTTCACATTTTCAAAAAAAGACACTTGGAACCCCCGAGAAGGTTTCCCAATGTTAAAACAAGACAATTAGGACCACCGAGAAGGTTTCACATTCTTAAAAAAAAAAAACATTTGGCGCCCCCGAGGTTTTACATTTTTAAAAAGACAGTTGGGAGACCCGAGAAGATTTCACATATTTCAAAAAAGACAGTTGGGACCGTCGAAAAGGTTTAATATACTTAAAAAAGGACACTTGGGCTCCCGAGAAGGTTTCACATTAAAAAAAATATATATTTGGTGCCCCCGAGAAGGTTTCACATTCTTAAAAAAATTGATCGAAAGTTGTTTCGGTAGAACTTCCCTCGCAGTTAAAGTACAATGAAACATAACCAGCAATTTTTAGTTGAGTTTTCACTTACAGAATTTTGGGATGAACGTCATCAACATTTTTGCAAGGACGCCTTGTATTGGTGCACTGTAATACTAAAAATAACATTATTGCATTCCCAAAATTTTTTGGGAAAATGGAATGAACCGTTCCTGATTTAATCAATAAAATAAATTTACACATTTATTAATTTCTTTGATCCACCTGTATAAGCAATCCTAAAAATATGAATGCAATGATAAATCACAAGTAAAAACTCATCATATTTTGCAGATTTCGGATAGATTTAGGAATTTAACTCGTTACTATGGAAATTTGCACCTTTAAATTTCACAAGTTTTCACAAGGTTAATAGGAGCAAAATCAGTTTTATCTTAATAAGTACTAGGACCGCCCACCCGTACCTTATTTTCTCAGAGGATATGTGATTTGCCAAAATCAGTCTTATCTTACCAAGTACTGGCCCCACCCACCCACCCTCTCTTTTCTTAAAAGATATGTGATTTGCCAAAATCACTCTTATCTTACCAAGTGCTAGCCCCACCCACCCACCCTCTCTTTTCTTAGCGGATATGTGATTTGTCAAATTCAATCTTATCTTACCAAGTACTGGCCCCACCCACCCACCCTCTCTTTTTTAGAGGATATGTCACTTGCCAAAATCAGTCTAATCTTACCAAGTACTATCTCCACCCACCCACCCTCTCTTTTCTTAGAAGATATGTGATTTGCCAAAATCAGTCTTATCTTACCAAGTACTGGCCCCACCCACCCTCCCTCTCTTTTTTTGGAGGATATGTGATTTGCCAAATCAGTCTTATCTTAACAAGTAAGGATATGTGCTCAGAAGATAAGAGTGATTTTGGCAAATCACATATCCTCTAAGAAAAGAGAGGGTGGGTGGGTGGGGCCAGTACTTGGTAAGATAAGATTGAATTTGGCAAATCATATGTCCTATAAGAAAAGAGGGTGGGCGGGTGGGGCCTGTACTTGCTCAGATAAGACTGACTTTAGCAAATGCTATGCCCTCTGAGAAAATAGAGAGGAGGTAAACAAAGTTATATTGAAATTATTCTATTCAGTTTAAAATTTTTTATAAAAATTCTGGATGTGTAGGGTGAAAATTCGACACGGATTCACGCACCACAATACAAGAGTATCTTATTTTATAAAATTAAAAAACATTTAATTATAAATTTTGGAGATGACGTCATCAAATTGTTGGTAGGGATAATTAGCCAAATTTTGGTTAGTATTTAAGCATCTACATGATATTTCTAACATATGTGCAAAATTTCACAACAATCGGTCCAGCAGTTTCGGTGATTATCTGTCTAATAAAAATGAATACAGACAGACAGACAGACAGACGGAAACGGGAGACCACTTTTTTCGTACTCTAGACGTCATGACACGTCGAGAAAACATGAAAGTGGTAATTCGGCCGATAGACTCGATTGCTATACTTCCTTTAAAATAAACAAAATTTCTGTTTTAATTCAATCATGTATTAAGTCCAATTAAATATTATTCTACAATTAATTTAGGTCCAATCCAAACGAGAAAACAAACTTTCAGTGGGTGTTTACTTAGTTAGTTTTGGTAAAAACCTTTTCAGTTGCAAAATGTTGTTGTACAATTTTGGATTTTTTCCCAAAAATCTTGAAACAAGCATCCGCCACACCATAACACTGGATTTGAGCAGGGTTGTAGCAAGGAATACTTGTTTTGCCAGCGACCTGGTTATTTATTGAACAGTGGTAACAGCGAACACAGTCATATAACGCTATTTGCCATCCGAAAATCGCTAAAATGAAGACAATTTTATCCGGTAAAAATGTCATTGCAATTAGCGAATTGACAAGCACGACTATTTTGATTATTAAGTGATTATTAAGGATCCCGGACAGTCAGCACAAGTGCACGAAAAATTAGTTAATTATTTAATGTAGAGGAGCCCTAGTCACAATTTTCCGGTCGCGGTGGCCATAATTTTTATTGAAATAGAGGAAAACAACGGTGAGAATTTATTGATAGATTGTTTACGAAAAAATCACAAAATTAAGTCAAAAAATAGAAAATTGTGATGGTCGACAGGAGGATGAGTATGGTCTTCACATTTCCTTGCCGAGTTTTGCCACTATTGCACAGACTGGTCGTACAAAGCTGACAATTCCGGGGGTTTAATAACTGCGTTTGGTTACAAAGCCACATGATAAGAAATGTGTCGGTGGCGTTTAACGATACACAACGCTTGGTCATCAAATCTGAAACCAACCACAATATTAACAACCGTGATACGAATTAAGTATTACTGGTTGCCTACTAAGCAGTGTCACCACCAATCGCAGCCGCTCATTTTAACCACGTGACACAACTGCCGCTGCCTATTGGTTGATAACTCAACCTAATTTTTAAATTTAAACACTAAACTAAACACGTACTTACTGTTGTAAATCAATGACACACAGTTGTCGTATACATTGGGACAATGCCACTGTGCAGGGTGGTTGCAGTGAATTTGGTCGTCATTTATATAGTGCGGCGTAAGAAACACACTACAGAAAAAACATTTCAAACCAACGCTGACCCCACAACTCAAAAAGAGGAATAAAAATACGCCAAATTTAGACCGTGACATTTTCACTATTTACATTTCCGCGGTTTTGGAAAATTTTTTAACCAATCATGAACCAACCCCCAAAATGTCAAACGCCGCCGTCACGTTGGCATCCCTGCCCCTCCTAACCTCACACTCTCAAGTGACCTTCATCATGTTATTTTGGATTTATCTTCAAAAACCTTCCGTTTTTCTTTAATTCCGTGTAAGTACGTAAGCGTGTGGCGTAATCCGACACCATAACCTAACTTTGCAGCGGCATGAAAGTGGCGGCGTTGATCAGTGGGGGCAAAGACAGCTGCTTCAACATGATGCAGTGTATAGCAGCGGGGCACGAAATCGCGGCCCTGGCTAACATAAGCCCCCACAACAAGTCAGAGCTTGACAGCTACATGTACCAAAGCGTGGGTTACGAGGCCATAGAATTTATAGCAGCAGCGATGGACTTGCCTCTGTATAGAGAAACCACGATGGGGTTGTCGGCGCAGTTGGGCAAAACGTACGAACCAACGACCGACGACGAGGTGGAAGACCTGTTCAGAGTGCTGTCGCAAGTCAAGGAAGATCTGGATATAGAGGCGGTTTCAGTGGGGGCGATTTTGTCGGATTATCAACGCGTGAGGGTTGAAAATGTGTAAGTTGCGACGTTACTAGTTGTACTATTGTTGTTTGAAGTTGTATCAGGTTGGGGTTGGTACCACTGGCGTACTTGTGGCAACAGGATCAAAAACAGCTGCTCGACGAGATGATCAAATGTGAAGTGGACGCCATTATAATCAAAGTGGCTACTTTAGGCCTCGAACCCAATAAACACCTAGGGAGAAGTTTGAGTTCGTTACAAGCTCATTTGTTGTCGATGAACGAAAAATACGGCTTGAATGTTTGTGGCGAAGGCGGCGAGTACGAAACTCTGACCTTGGATTGTCCTCTCTTCAAAAGTAGGATAGTAATGTATTATTACCACTTATGAGGTGTCCCAGAACGCGCAACTTACGCCAGTTCTGGGACTCCCCCATAAGCGAAAGCGCCCTCTGTAATTCAGATTTGGTATCTGAATTACAATACTGCGAATCCTCCAATTGCGTCATTTCAGTGAAGAGTCTGAAATAGTCCTGAATTCGAACGACCCGATTTGCCCCGTCGGCTATCTTCGTTTGAAAAAACTCAGTCTAGAAGTCAAATTACCCAACTTGGATTTGCAAAGGCGCTTGAGTGGGCTTCCGTTGAAAGATAGCGACGGTTACATCACCGACTATGGAGTGGAAGCGTCGGATTTTAGCGACGACGACGACAAGTCAGTCAAAAGCATTGAAGACGGTTGCGTTAGTTCCGAAACGTTGGAGCAAGAAGCGCGCGCCGTGAAAAGCGCGGACGGCTGGCTGTGGATAAGTGGGATTCAAGGACGCGCGCCGGACTTCCGAGAAGCGATGCAGGAGGCCACGCGGACATTAAAGTGTAGGTATGCGACTGACGTCATCGTCTTTACTGTCTTAAGAGGAGGTTTTACCCACACGGAAAGTAGCCCGTGCAATGGGTTATGATTTTTCGAATCAATGATTTATTATTGCTTAAAAATAGTTCAAAATTTAACTGAGTGTTGTCAAAGGTTGTGGCATTTTGCCAGCGTTCGAATTTTTTAAGTCTGATAAGTAACTGTTGCAATAAAATTCACAAATTGGCTTAAAAGAAGCGTTTGTAACTCGGCAATTAAGTGACGCCTTCGAAAAATTCAAACGGAGGCAGCAAGATCAATGTTTCGTAACTGTCTATATAAAATTGCGACGTTGTAAATTAGAAAATGTTGCTATAAGACGAAAAAACAGAACGCATGTTTTCGGACAAAATGCAAGCCGATTTCTGCTCGCCCTCACTCGGGTCAGGTGCAGCAACATAAAAAATCTTTCCAGAAATGGCCTGATATCTCCAGTGCTTTAGATTTAGTTGAGACACAGCAATCTGGGAGCCGGAATAGATACTTCCATCGTAAATATATCAACTATTTTAATGGAAAGAAAATAATAATAAAAAATTGGTCGAAAGTTGTTTCGAGAGAACTTCCCTCGCTCCTGAAGTACAATGAAACATATCAAGCATTTTCTAGTTGAATTTTTTCTTTACACAATTTTGTGATGACGCCTTCAACATTTTTACAAGGACACGTACATCAACTTGGATTGCTGCAGTGTAAAATAAATTGACTTATTCATTATTCTTTTTGAGTCACCTGATTAAGCAAATCTAAAAAAATTGTCGAAAATTATTTCCTTCCCTTGCCCCCGATGTACAGTGCCACAACTCCTGCTTCTTTAAAAAATTAAAACATTTGATTTTTTGTTATGAACATTTTTGAGAAGTCATGACATTGACAGGGAGATCGGGCAATTGTTGGTTAGCTTTTTACCATTTACACGATATTATTAACATCCATATAAAATGTATAAAATACAATCGGTCCGGTAGTTTTGGAGATTATTTGCCTAATAAAAGTTTGAACAGACAGTACTGAGCCACGAGACCTAATTTTTCATACGCTATGAGTCATGAAATGTCGAAAAAACATAAAAATAGCCAGTCGCCTCCCGATAGACTCGATTACAATACTTTCTTTGCTTACGCTCAGGAAATCAAAATAAAATTGGCAAAATTAAATTTTATAATTTGTTGAACATTTTGTATTTTATAGAACAACACCGAAAACACACAAAATATTTGTCGACGCGATGAATAAACTTTTAAAGCGAAAACATTAACTGTGAGTTATTTATAAACAACGATATTGACGGCGCCGTAAACACTTACCTATTTTAAGGTTACTATGGCAACAGAAAGCAAAAAGCACGTGTGCTGGAAGTTCGATCTCCCGCATCCTGGTGAATGCGCGAAAGTCATCAAAAAAGGTCATGAGGGCAAAAAAATATATTTACAGCACATTATTAACTGAAATAAAGCTAAATGTGCAATATGCGTAATAATAAAAATGTTAATGCTTATACAGAAGAATGTCACGTAGACATTTGTCTGATTTGAATGAGTTTATCGCCTCAAGACATACGACTAAAATTATTCATAAAACTGAATTGAACAAAATATTCTAAATGTTGCTATGATAATTCTTACCTTATCATTATTTTATTGTTATAAAGACGGGCATATTCTCACATTTTTGAGAAAATGGGGTGGCTCGGTCTTAATTTGATCAATGATAAATTGACTGATTCAATAATTTTTTTGAATCACCTGTATAAGAAAATCTAAAAAATATGAATGCAATGATAAGCTACAAGTATAGTCTGATCATATTTTGCACATTTTGTTGATAAACATATACTTATATTTTGATTAAAAAGTTACCATGCTTCACAGTAACTTCAAAACGTCAAGATTTCAAAGTATTCAGTTTTGCAATTCTTGATTTAATCAATAAAATACTCAGTCATTAATTTTTTTCAGACACCCCGTATAAGCAAATCTAAAAAATATTAATGCAGTGTTTTGATTAAAAATTTATTATGCTTATCATAACTTTAAAACATCTGCAAGATTTCAAAGCATTCGGTTTTGCAGATTTAAAATTAAATTGCAAAATGTTGTTTTATAATTTTTTTTTTTTTTTTTTCAAAAAATCTGGACGTTTCGGATAAAAACTCAACACTGAGTCTTAAACTACATGTGTAGGAATATGTTATTTTATACAATTTAAAACTCATTTACTATGCCGGATTATTCTTTTGATTGCTTTTGTTGGTGCCAGATTATCTCACATTGTTCCTTCCCAAGCATAAGCTAAGAAAATATTGTAATAAGGTCCATGGGACAAATGGCTACTTACATGTTTTCTTGACGTTTTATGATTCCTAGAGTACGAAGAAATAGTTTAAGTATGTTGACGTCTGTCCGCCATCTGTGTTGATTTTTATTAGATAGATAATCTCCAATTATTTATTATTATTTTATTGTAGTATTGTTATTATTAGTATTACACTGCACCCATCCACACTGACATACTAAGTGTCCTTCCAAAAATGTTGATGACGTCAACAGAAAACTTTGTAATGGAAACATTGACTTGAAACATAAACATAGCATGCTTCTTTAGCCGTATTTTAACATTATATACATAATTTTAATTTAACTTACAGGGATTATCGTAAAAAACTAATAATAGTTGCAAAATCAAGTCTTAGAATTTTCCGAAGAAGTGGGATATGTTGTACTGTGCTGCAGGGACGAATTATTTTTAAATTTTCCGAGTAGTGGAACGTGAATCATCTTACTATATACACTCACCGGCAAAAAAAACCGGCCACCCCGAAAAATTTCTCAACATCAAACTTTAAAAATTTTAATTTAACTAGTGATCGTTATTTTATTAAAGAACCATTCACTATTCACAAATGATGTAAAAATTAGCAAAAAAAAAGAAGACAAATAAACGCAGAATTAAATTAAATTTAACAAAACTTAACAGAACGACAATTTGAGAGAGGTCTGTAAGAGTTAACGGCATTGTTTTCGCGTGAAAACGTTCATTAATTGCCAAACTTATAATCAAATGATGAAAAACACTGTTTACAACAACAGCCTCCTTTATTGTTTTGTTTAAGAAAATATCGTACTTGGTCTGTTTTTGTTATTTTGTTAAATTTAATTTAATTCTCGTTTATGTATGTTCTTTTTTTGCTAATGAATTACAACATGTATCAATAGTGAATGGTACTAAAATAACGATCACTAATTCAATTAATAATTTTTAAAGTGGTTTTGCGAAATTTTGCAGAGTGGTCGTTTTTTTGCCGGTCAGTGTAGATAGTAGTTTTTTTTTTTTTTTTGTTACTGTTCATTTACACTTTGACGTTTTGGTATTTTGTTCGTATAAGTTCGTCTAAATAAAAAAACATGAACCTTTTGAAGAATATTTTTCATTTAATAAATTCTTTTATGTTAAATTATTATTATGTATTATGTTAAATTTTAACTTATTAAATTGTATTCCCTCTGTCCGAAAATATGGTACACATTTTACAAAATTATTATAATTAACGAGTGATGACCAGCAAATTATAATCAAGTAATTTTGTTTGCAACTTGTATAATAATGGAACATCATATAAATAGTGTTAAAAAAGTGCCCAAGAAAACTGCTACAATAACAACAAAATAAATCGACACAAGAATAATTAAATTAAATATATTATATATATTTATTATAATAAATAATTATAATAATCTAATCAATGCATATCATTAGTTGGTCTTAGTATCCGTAATGATAGAAGTCTTGCCTGAATGCCGGTCATTTCCGGGTCAGTGGTGGGTCTTAATAATATATTATAATAATCTAATTTATTTATTTATTTTTATTTATTTAATTTTAAGTATAAAATTCTTCATCTTAATAAATCCAAACTTCGTCGTGGAGGAAGGTTACCAACGAGATTACTATGTTCTCCAGAGGCTCTAAATAAAGTCCCATTGCATATACATTGAAATGTATTGTCTTTATAATAGTATTATTAAATAAAGTTACAAATGTATACCATATTTTCGGACGTAAAATTAAATTTTGTTGTCGACAACTTGACAGGATGTTCCCCTGACGTATTCGTAACCTTGAGCCTTGAAGTACTAAAATCTACGTACACCAGTCTGAAACATGAATGGGCGGATCATTTTTGCCGATCGTCGCCGAAGGAGGCGGTCCAAATCGTCCAAGGGCAGAATTTGTAGGTAGGCTCAAACTACAACGAAATTTACGTGTTGACCAAATTCTTACTCTGAATTAGTTTTAATTTTATAAATACTCTATCTAAAATGTTCAGAATATGGTGAGTCTATACTTGTGATTTACCATTCCATTTATATTTTTTGGATTTGTTTATACATACAGGGTGACTCACAAAAAAATAATGACTGAGTCAATTTATTTTATTGAAGAAATCAAGAATTGCAAAACTGAATACTTTGAAATCTTGTCAATTAGTTGGAACCTGAGCCCAATTTTTTTTGCAATATCTGTGATGTGCTACTAGTTTCCGTAAGTTATAAAATTAGAAAAAAAAACCTATTTTGCTCTAATAAAATCGAGAATATGCTCAAAATCACACTAATATTAGGTCTAATTGTGCCAACCATAGTTATAAAATTGATATTAAAATAAGTCACGGACATTTTTTGAAGTGTACTACATTTCAAAAAACAAAAAAAATGTTCAGTTTATAAACTTCATAATTTTGGTTTAAAGTTTATCAATCATGTTTGACGCTTTACTTTATCCGTTCCATTTGTTATCCTTTACTGCTGTGTCTCTTGGGTCGAGGTGTAACACCGGATCGAACGTTCTTCGACCGACATCTTTTCGGTGACAAATTTAATCTTCGCATACTTCAGCGTAGTTAGTGAACTCGTTGTGACCACTGAAATATACAAAGAGTAAATTTTGAAATGGAACGAAAGTCGAAGAATACTTTCAAAGCCACGGTCAAAATGTATTTGCTTATCTTAGCCAAAAAATGCATGACGTCATCGTAAAATTTGATATGATGAGTCTATACCTGTGATTTATCATTGCAGTAATATTTTTTAGATTTACTTATACAGTCTGTCTCAAAAAAAGATCACTTCGATTTTTGATTTTTCGTTTTTTCGACCAACCTTTTCATCGAATTAGATTTTTCAGTTTCAATTTTTCTATCAACTTTTCGATTTTATTACTTTCCAATTTTCTGATTTTTCAAATTTGCGGTATTTTGAATTTTCGAGTTTTTAGTTTTTTCGTTTTTCGATTTTTTAAGTTTTCGTTTTTTTTGATTTTTCGATGTTTCGATTTTTTGATTTGCCATTCTTTCAATTTTCGATTTTTCGTCTTTCCATTTTTAGATTTCTGGATTTTTCTGTTCGTCAGTTTTTAGATTTTGCAATTTTTTTGCATTTTTCGATTATATTTTACTTTCCGATTTTTTTGATTTTTGAATTCTTCTGTTCTCGATTTTCCGATTTTCCATTAATCATTAAATTTTTCGATTTTTCGGTTGTTTTATTTCTCGACCATCGATTTTTCAACTTTCGATTATTCGATTTTCCATTTTCTGTTTGTTTCAGTTTTTATAGTTCTGCAATTTGTTTTATTTTTCCATTTTTCGATTATTTTACTTTCCGATAGTTTGATTTTTGAATTTTCGGTTTTTTCGTTTTTGATTTGGGATTTTTCAATTTTTCGGTTTTTTAATTTTTCGTATTTTGATTTTCGATTTTTCAGATTTGTGGATTTGTGTCCGTTTTTTCGATTTTTAGAATATTGATTAATCGAATTTTCGATTTTTCGATTATCATTTTTACGATTTTTCAAAATCTCGATATTCGAGTTTTCGATTTTCCATTTTTCAAATTTTCAATTTTTAATTTTGCTTTTTTCGATTGTTGCTTTTTAGAATTTTCCCTTCTTTAGCTTTTAGATTTCAATTTTGTTACTTTCCGATTTTCCACTTTTCGATTTTTTTTTTCGATAGTCGTTTTTTCGATTTTCATTTTTCCGCTTTTTTGATTTTTCAATTTTTAGGCCTTGCAATTTTTTTACTTTTCGTTTTTTCGAGTATTTGTTACATCGAATTTTCGATTTTTCGAGTTTTAGATTTTCCATTTTTAGATATTTTTCCGTTTTTTTTTTATTTTTCGATTTTTCTGTTCGTCAGTTTTGAGACTTTGCAATTTTTACTTTTCCACTTTTCTATTATCTTAGTTTCGGATTATTCGATTTTTGAATTTTCGTTTTTTTTTCATTTTTCGATTTCCGATTTTTTAATTTTTCGATTTTTCGGTTTTTTAATTTGTCGATTCTCGATATTCCGATTTTCGATTTTTCGATTTTTCAATCTTCGATTTTTCAATTTCCAGTTTTCGATTTTCCACTTTTTGATTTTACGATTTTTCGATTTTTCTGTTCGTCAGTTTTCAGGCTTTGCAATTTGTTTACTTTTCGATTTTTCGATTATTTTACTTTCCAATTTTTTGATTTTTGAATTGTCGACTTTTAGAGTTTTCAATATTATGAATTTTCGGTTTTCCTATTTTTCGATTTTTGATTTTTCCATTTTTCGGTTTTTTGATTTTTCAATTCTCGGTTTTTCAATCTTGCAAATTTCCGATTTTTCAGATTTGTGAATTTCCAGTTTTTCGATCGACCTACGTATTAGATTCATTGAATTTTCGATTTTCGGTTTTTCCATTTTTAAATTTTTGATTTTCCAGATTTGTATTTTCAGATTTTCTGTTTTTCGCATATCTGATTTATCAAATTTTCCATTTTTCGGCTTTTCGATTTTTCGATATTTGATTTTCGAATTTTCGATTGTTCAGTTTTCCATTTTTCAGCTTTTAGACTTCAATTTTTTTACTTTTCGATTTTCCAAATTTTCGAGTTTCCATTTTCAGATTTTTGATTTTTCGATTTTCTTTTTAAATCTTTGAATTTTTCGGTTTTGATTTTTCGAATTTTTGATTTTTAATTTTTCCATTCTTCGGTTTTTAGACTTCAATTTTCTTTCTTTTAAATTTTTCGATATTCTATTTTCCGCTTTTCAGAATTTTCGATTTTCAGTTTTCAGACTTTCGATCATTAGAATTTTGGATTTTTCAGTTTTATGATTTTTCGATTTTTAGAAAATTTGAGTAATCGAATTTTCGATTTTTCAATTCATCGATTTTTCTATGTTCAATTGTTCAATTTAAATTTTGCGATTTTCAATTTGTCCATTGTCGATTTTTAGAATTTTCGGTTTTTCAGTTTTTCTGTTCTCAGCTGTTAGACTTCAATTTTCTTACTTCCCGATTTTTTGGTTTTCGATTTTCCAATTTTCAGAATTTCCAAGTTTCTTTATTCAGATTTTCGATTTTCCACTTTTTCGCTTTTAGATTTTTCGAATTTTTGTTTTTCCAATTTTTTGCAGTTTTTAGGCTTTGCAATTGTTTCTACTTCATATATATTGATTATTTTAATTTCCGATTTTTTTAATTTTTGTTTTTGATTTTTTTAATTTTCAATATTACTTTTCGATTTTTTGGTTTTCCCGTTTTTCAATTTTCGATTTTTCGATTTTTGAGGTTTGTGAATTTCCACTTTTCGATCAACCTAGGTATTTGATTCATTGAATTTTCGATTTTTTAATTAGCCATTTTATTTTTTTGATTTTTACGATTCGTATTTTTCGATTTTCTGTTTTTTGCATTTGTGAATTTCATTTTTTCCGATTTTTGATTTTGCGCATATTAATTTTTTAGAATTTTCGGTTTTTCAGTTTTTCTGTTCTCAACTGTTAGACTTCAATTTTCTTACTTCCCGATTTTTTGGTTTTCGATTTTCCAATTTTCAGAATTTCCAAGTTTCTTTATTCAGATTTTCGATTTTCCACTTTTTCGATTTTTCTGTTCGTTTCAGTTTTTAGGCTTTGCAATTTTTTTCTACTTTACATATTTTGATTATTGTAATTTCCGATTTTTTTTATTTTTGTTTTTGATTTTTTTAATTTTCAATATTACGAATTTTTGACTTTTCGATTTTTGGTTTTCCGGTTTTTCAATTTTTGATTTTTCGATTTTTGAGGTTTGTGAATTTCCACTTTTCGATCGACCTAGGTATTTGATTCATTGAATTTTCGATTTTTTGATTAGCCATTTTTAGATTTTTGATTTTTACGATTTGTATTTTTCGATTTTCTGTTTTTTGCATTAGTGAATTTCAGTTTTTCCGATTTCTGATTTTGCGCATATTTGATTAATCAAATTTTCGAAAAAGTTACCATGCTTACAAAAACTTCAAAACATCTACAATATTTCAAAGTATTCAGTTTTGCTATTCTTGATTTCTTCAATAAAATAAATTGACTCAGTCATTAACTTTTTTGAGATACCCTGTATAACCAAATCTAAAAAATATTAACGCAGTGATAAATCACAAGTATAAAAACTCATCATATTTTATACATTTAAGATAGGATTTATTCTGCAAAAATTTTGAGGTGACGTCATAAATTTTTAGAGGGGATAAGCAAATATATTTTAATTAAATCATGTTTATCATGACTTTAAAACATCTGCCAGATTTCAAATTATTCGATTATTCATTATTTTATGGGAACAACTACCTGCTAAATCTTCTCCGACAAATTCGAGAGAACTGGTGTGAGCCATAAATATTTCTTACCAAATGTAAATTTCGTTGTAGTTTGAGCCTACCTACAAATTCTGCCCTTGAAGGATTTGGACCGCCTTCTTCGGTGAGGGCAGGCAAAAACGATCCGCCCATAGGCTCAAAACATTTGCGTGCGATTGTACCCGAACTAAGTTGAATCTTTACTGTGTGCGCTTTGACTACCGCTCACCTTGCCCCCCGAAAATGTTTACGTCCCTCAGAATGCACAGATGTCACAGTCCGAGAAACGAATGAATGGCTTGACTAAAACCTCCTCTTAAGCTAAATTACTCAATTAACTTAGTAACCCCCACTCTTCTTCAATAGCCATCTTGACCCAGCACTCCCAGTCAGTTCGGGACGTGTGTTCCGTGGTCCTTTACGTCTCCGACATGTCCCGATACGGCGAAATTAATCAAGTTTATTGCGAGATGTTCAATCACGTGAATCCACCTAGTAGGGCTTGCGTGGAGGTGCAGTCGTGTTTTCCGGTGATATTGGCAGCACTGTCGTGGTCAGCACCGGCTAACAATTCCGGGGATTTCCCAGTCGAACGGTAGCAAACAACCGCGTTGTAAAAACGAACCAATCAGACTGAGTTTCAGACACACTATGCACGTCCAGAGTCGCTCTCATTGGGCGCCTTCCAACATTGGCCCCTACAGTCAGGCTGTGAGGGTGGGGGAACTCATACATCTAGCGGGTCAGATTGCTTTGATCCCCGGAAATTTGGAAATGGTTAGAGGTGGGATTAAAGCGCAGTGTCAGTTAGCGCTGAGACACGTAGGGAGGTTACTTAAGGCGATGGATCCGAACGTGAACTTAAGGGACGTCGTACAGGTGTGCCCGTCTTTACACGTTTCGTTTCACTATTGACTAAATTTCTAGGGAATTTGTTATGTTACTGATGTCAGTTACGTGGACCGGGCTCGAAAATTGTGGGAGGAAAGGTCCAACAACGCCATCGTAGTCTACGTTGTAGTTAGCCAATTGCCGCGAGAGGCGCTGGTGGAGTGGCACGTCTGGGCCCACAGACACAACAACCAATTCGAATGTAAAAAAGCCACATTTTTAGTAATTTTAGTGTGATAAGGTTTTTCCAGACGAGGAAACTGGGAAGTGCTTCGACGGGTATTCCATTTCGATTTATCGCCGGTGGAACTACGAAAACGACATAGCGGCTATTGTTTGCTACGTCGACCGGTCCGAAGAAGCCGAATTGACCGAGGAAGTTTTTATAAATACTGTCGATTATACGTTGCAGAAGTTGAAGCAGGGGCACGAGAACGACGCCACTTCGGTCTACAATCTTTACATTTTTTACTCGAGAATGAAAATTCATAGTTTGAAGGTGGATTATTTGCGGAGTCTTGCCGAAACGTCTGCGTTGGCTTACACGCTCGTGCCTGTGACATACGTCAAAAGCGAACACACTTATCTGTCGATCTGTGGAGTCAGAAATCAGTAAGCTGCTTTTTTTTTGTTTTTATGTTGACTGTTGTTGAATATACGTTTATTATTATTGGGTTTGTTTTTGTGGTGGGGGAACGATACAACTGAGAGACGTTTTAATAGTGAGAAATGTTTATTTCTGCAATTCTAAAACAATGATGTATGCATAATAAAATATTTAATAATAAAAGGAACCCCGAAGTCACGTTTCTAACGATAAGTATTTTTAATATACACGACATTTCTACAGACACCATAGGGTCTGATTTTATATACACTTGATATTTTTTATGTACAATGAAACAATAACAAAATAAATAAGAATAAAAGTTGACTGACTTCAGATCTATAAATACACATAATGGAGAAATGTTAGTAGCGTTGGGTTTGGGTCGGATGATCGGGAGCAAAGAAGAAAATTGCACCTACGGACTAAGTTTAAAATTTACTTTTTTTATGTAAAATATTAAGATAAATAAAATTAAGTACACATAATCACATCGTTATACTAAACCTACTTAGGTTAAAGAAAAAACATTACCGTAAAATGGAAAAAATGAACGTTTTCCCTTTTTTGTAGATTCGAAAATTTTTACTAACACCAATTAAAATCTCTGAGCGATCAAGTCGAATATTCTAAGACAAATATGTATAACTCTTATTTACAAGTACACTCGATTTGCTAAATACATAGCTATAAACAATGAAAACACGATTTAGAACGGGTCTATTGTTTTTTTGTATTTTTTTCTCCTTATTTATGTACAGTCATTATTGCCGGCTTTAATTCTACCAAACCCGAGAAACACCGTTTGAATTTTCGCAGCATGGATCACAGCACATTCGTGATGTTTAGTCTTAAAGTGAGGGAAATAGAAAGACGATAATCGAGCGCGGATCGCGCAAACGGCCTTAAAATTTTGTTTTCTTTTAAGGACTAGCACCTTCTTCAAACTTCACAACCTTGCGGGAAATAGGTAAGAAATTCAGTCGATTTACGAACGAACCTCGCTTCGGTCAACTTCTACAGTGCTTTGACCCAAGCTGCGGGCACCCACTGGGGCTCCCTCTCCAGGCTGTTTATCTCGCTCAACAACTGGTGGTACGCCCGCTCGGTGTCGTTATTTATGATTATCATATCGAAGAAATGACCGTATTTGTCCTCCATCTCGCGGGCCTTTTCTATTATGTCCTTCAACTCTTCCTCCTAAAAGCAAAACGAACAACACTCACTCTCTTCCACTCGTACTCTTTTTACTATCTATTATCCACTCAATAAACATAAATGACATATAAAGTTTTTTTTTAATTAGATTGACCACTTGACAAAGTATAATTCAATTTTTATTTCACGGTAAATAAAATAAGCCAATGAAATCCAAAATTGGAGGTGGGTGGGGTTAATCTTACCTTTTTCGTCTATATTCCACTGTTTATCAACATAAAATCCTCTTTTCATCCAATAAAATGAGCGATCAAAAAAACCGGGTGGGTGGGCGGGGCTTTGAAGTTTGAATCTGACGGAAAATTGGAGAGAATTCGACAGAATCCGAAAAAAAAAAACGAAAGAATACAAATAAATCTAAGAAAGGGTCCAACAAAATATGAAAAAATAAGAAAGACTGCTTGAAAATTTGATGGAATCTGAAGAAATCCGAAATAACACAAAAATCCGAGAGGATCCCAAAGATAAATAAATCGTAAGAGAATCGGAGGGAATTCGAGAGAATGTGGAAAAATCCGGGATAATCTAGAGGCAAAAATTTCTAAAAAAAAAAAAAATCAGATTAAAAAAATTTAGTTCTTCCACTGAATTAAAAAAAATATATTGTAAAATTTCCTGAGAAATCCGAAATAAATCCAAGAGAATCGCGGAAAATTAGAGAGTATCCTGAAAAATCCGAAGGAATACAGATAAATCTATGAGATAATAATCTAAGACAACCACCTAGAGGATCCGAAAAAATGTGAAAAAGGTACGAAAGAATACAAAAATCCGGCAAGAGTCCGAGTGAATTCGAGAGAATAACACGATAGAATCCAGAAAAATCCTGAAAAAATCCCAGAGAATCCTGATGAATTCGAGTAAATACGAATAAGTCTAAGAGAATCGAAGAAAATTCGAAAGAATCGTAGAGACTCTGTAGGAAACCGAAAGAATACAGATGAATTTAAGAGACTCACAATCTAAGAGAGACTCCTTGAGAATCCGAAAAATTATTAAAAAACACGAAAGAATACGAAAAAATTTAAGAGAGTGGAAAGAATTCGAGAGAATTTGGAAAAATCAGAAAGATTCCTGGAAAATTCAATGGGATACAGTTGGACAGTAAATATATTTATTGTCCAACGGAACATAGACATTCCACCTAGAGGAATCTGAAAAAATCCGAAAGAACACAAAAATCCGCGGGAATACAAATAATTCTAAGAAAAAATATGAAAAAATACGGAAGATTATGAACAAATTTTAGAGACCGGCAAAAAAATCCGAAAGACTGCTGGAGAATTTGATGGAATCTGAAGAAATCCAAAATACTCCGAGTGAATTCAAGAGAATATAAATAAATCTAAGAGAATCGGAGGGAATTCGAGAGAATCTGGAAAAATCCGGGATAATCTAAAGAGGCAAAAATTTCTAAAAAACAAAATCCAGATTTAAAAAATCTAGTTCTTCCAAAAATAGTCCACTGATTTAAAAAAAAAATATTGTAAAATTTCCAGAGAAATCCGAAATAAATCCAAAAGAGTCGAGAAAATTAAGAGAGAATCCTGAAAAATCTGAAAGAATCACAGGAATTCCTGGAGAATATGATGGAATTTTAAAAAATCCGAGAGAATCCGAAGACAACTCGGAAAAATCAGAAAGAACACAAATATCCGAGGGGACGCCAAAGAATCTGAGTGAATTCGAGAAAATATGAATAAATCTAAGGGAATAGGAGAGAATCCGGGAAAAATCTTAAAGAGGTCAAATTTCTAAAAAAAAATACCCACATTTAAAATATCTAGTTCTTCCAAAAGTTGTCTATTAAAATAAAAAAAACATATATTGTAAAATTCCCGAAGGAATCTAAAACAAAATCCAAGAGAATCAAGGAAAATTGGAGAGTATTCTGAAAAATCCGGAAGAATCCCAGGAATTCCTGGAAAGCTGACAGAATTTGAAAACATCCGAGAGAATCTTAATAAATCCGAGAGAATACGGAAGGATACAAAAAATACCAGTGAATCGGAGAGAATTCGAGAAAATCCGAAAAAATCCGAGAGAATGCAGATAGATCTATGATATAATAATCTAAGAGAGATACCGAGAGAATCCGAAAAAATATGAAAAATATACGAAAGAATACAAAAATCCGGCAGGATCCCAAAGAGTTCGAGTGAATCTGGAAAAATCCGAGATAATCTAAAGAGGGAAAAATTTCTAAAAAACAAAATCCAGATTTAAAAAATCTAGTTCTTCCAAAAATAGTCCACTGATTTAAAAAAAAATATATTGTAAAATTTCCAGAGAAATCCGAAATAAATCTAAAAGAATCGAGAAAATTAGAGAGAATCCTGAAAAATCTGAAAGAATCACAGGAATTCCTGGAGAATATGATGGAATTTAAAAAAATCCGAGAGAATCCGAAAAATTTGAAAAAATACGAAAGAATACAAAAAATTTAAGAGAGTGGAAAGAATTCAAGACAACTCGGAAAAATCAGAAAGAACACAAATATCCGAGGGGATGCCAAAGAATCTGAGTGAATTCGAGAAAATATGAATAAATCTAAGGGAATAGGAGAGAATTCGAGAGAATCCGGGAAAAATCTTAAAGAGGTCAAATTTCTAAAAAAAATACCCACATTTAAAATATCTAGTTCTTCCAAAAATAGTTATTAAAATAAAAAAAACATATATTGTAAAATTCCCGAAGGAATCTAAAACAAAATCCAAGAGAATCAAGGAAAATTGGAGAGTATTCTGAAAAATCCGGAAGAATCCCAGGAGTTCTTGGAAAGCTGACAGAATTTGAAAAAATCCGAGAGAATACGGAAGGATACAAAAAATACCAGTGAATCGGAGAGAATTCGAGAAAATCGGAAAAAATCCGAAAGAATGCAGATAGATCTATGGTATAATAATCTAAGAGAGATACCGAGAGAATCCGAAAAAATATGAAAAATATACGAAAGAATACAAAAATCCGGAAGGATCCCAAAGAGTTCGACTGAATCTGGAAAAATCCGAGATAATCTAAAGAGGCAAAAATTTCTAAAAAACAAAATCCAGATTTAAAAAATCTAGTTCTTCCAAAAATAGTCCACTGATTTAAAAAAAATATATTGTAAAATTTCCAGAGAAATCCGAAATAAATCCAAAAGAATCGAGAAAATTAGAGAGAATCCTGAAAAATCTGAAAGAATCACAGGAATTCCTGGAGAATATGATGGAATTTTAAAAAATCCGAGAGAATCCGAAAAATTTGAAAAAATATGAAAGAATACAAAAAATTTAAGAGAGTGGAAAGAATTCAAGACAACTCGGAAAAATCAGAAAGAACACAAATATCCGAGGGGATGCCAAAGAATCTGAGTGAATTCGAGAAAATATGAATAAATCTTAAGGGAATAGGAGAGAATTCGAGAGAATCCGGGAAAAATCTTAAAGAGGTCAAATTTCTAAAAAAAATACCCACATTTAAAATATCTAGTTCTTCCAAAAATAGTTATTAAAATAAAAAAAACATATATTGTAAAATTCCCGAAGGAATCTAAAACAAAATCCAAGAGAATCAAGGAAAATTGGAGAGTATTCTGAAAAATCCGGAAGAATCCCAGGAATTCCTGGAAAGCTGACAGAATTTGAAAATATCCGAGAGAATCTTAATAAATCCGAGAGAATACGGAAGGATACAAAAAATACCAGTGAATCGGAGAGAATTCGAGAAAATCCGAAAAAATCCGAGAGAATGCAGATAGATCTATGATATAATAATCTAAGAGAGATACCGAGAGAATCCGAAAAAATATGAAAAATATACGAAAGAATACAAAAATCCGGCAGGATCCCAAAGAGTTCGAGTGAATCTGGAAAAATCCGAGATAATCTAAAGAGGAAAAAATTTCTAAAAAACAAAATCCAGATTTAAAAAATCTAGTTCTTCCAAAAATAGTCCACTGATTTAAAAAAAAATATATTGTAAAATTTCCAGAGAAATCCGAAATAAATCCAAAAGAATCGAGAAAATTAGAGAGAATCCTGAAAAATCCGAAAGAATCACAAGAATTCCTGGAGAATATGATGGAATTTTAAAAAATCCGAGAGAATCCGAAAAATTTGAAAAAACATGAAAGAATACAAAAAATTTAAGAGAGTGGAGAGAATTCAAGACAACTCGGAAAAATCAGAAAGAACACAAATATCCGAGGAGATGCCAAAGAATCTGAGTGAATTCGAGAAAATATGAATAAATCTAAGGGAATAGGAGAGAATTCGAGAGAATCAGGAAAAAATCTTAAAGAGGTCAAATTTCTAAAAAAAATACCCACATTTAAAATATCTAGTTCTTCCAAAAATAGTCTATTAAAATAAAAAAAAGATATATTGTAAAATTCCCGAAGGAATCTAAAACAAAATCCAAGAGAATCAAGGAAAATTGGAGAGTATTCTGAAAAATCCGGAAGAATCCCAGGAATTCCTGGAAAGCTGACAGAATTTGAAAAAATCCGAGAGAATCTTAATAAATCCGAGACAATACGGAAAAATCCGGAAGGATACAAAAAATACCAGTGAATCGGAGAGAATTCGAGAGAATCCGAAAAAATCCGAAAGAATGCAGATAGATCTATGGTATAATAATCTAAGAGAGATACCTTGAGAATCCGAAAAAAATATGAAAAAGATACGAAAAAATACAAAAATCCGGCAATATCCCACAGAATCCGAGTGAATTCGAGAGAATAGGAATAAATTTAAGATAATAATCGGACAGAATTCGAGAGAATCCGGAAAAATCCGAAATAATACGAAAGAATTCGAGAGAACTCGGAAAAATCCGAGAAAATCCAAGAGGTAAAATTTCTAAAAAAAAAATACTCGGATTTAAAATATCCAGTTCTTCCAAAAATAACCTATTAAATTAAAAAAATATATATTGTAAAATTTCCGAAAGAATCCGGAAGAATCCCAGGAATTCCTGGGAATCTGACAGAATTTGAA